CCGGCCCCACGTGTGCACCACTCGGTCCCAGGCCAGGCCGGGCAGCCATGGCACATTCTCTCTTGTTGTTGGCAGTCTTCGCCCGAGGATATTTCTCCATTGCTTTTACGCAGAGTGGAAGGGAGCGGAGAGAGAGCGAAACATCGATGTGAGAGAGACACATCGACCAGTTGCCTCTCACACTCGCCCAGCCGGGGCCAGGCATCCAACGTGCAGCCCAGGTTCATGGCCTTGGTCGGAATCAAACCGGCAACCCTTGGGTCCCTGGGCCAGCGCTCTAACCATTGAGCAACACTGGCCGGTGCCTGGCAAGTTCTTTAAAGTCCATCCCAACGGTTCACCCCCGAAGGTTCGTCCCCAGCGATGCATCTGGGGGTCACGGAGGAGTCCGGGACCGGTCTCTGTCCTCTGCCGGGAGGGCCAGGCCGGGGTCAGAGCGCCTGGGCCAGTGGCGGTGGTGAGGTCTGCAGGGAGATGGGGGAGGCGGGCTGCAGGCTGAGGCTGGGCCCAGGCCGGAGACACAGGGTGCAGCCCTCCAGGCCGGAGAAGTCCACGGTCAGGAGGCCGAAGAGCAGGAAGAGCAGCATGGCCACGGCCCACTCGCAGACGGCGGCGGCGGAGCGCTGCAGGTTTTTGTGGAGGATGACCACTGTACACCACAGTCAAGGGCACTCCGCCATGAGAAGGGTCCTGGCGCCCCTGGGTGCCCCCAGACCGGGCAGGCGAGGCCGCGCCACCCTCCTCGGTGGCACCCAGACACTCGCCAAGGGGTACCCTCCAGTCCTGACCTACTCTCAGACTGTTTCCCAAATATTGTCCCAGGCGGGTCCCTGCTGTTCGAAGGGCGCCCTCAATATTCTGGAACAAGGGTCTTAGCTCCCGTCAGCCTCCCTGAGCCCACGAAGGCTCCACCATCCCCCACTCGCCCAGGCAGGCAGCCAGGCACCTTGCTTCTACCTCCACATATACAGCGTTTCCTAAAGATACAGCCCCCAGCCCAGCTCCAGTGGCTCCGTGGTTAAGCGTGGACCTAGGAACCAGGAGGACACGGTTCGATTCCCGGTCAGAGCACATGCCCGGGTTGCGGGCTTGATCCCCAGTGTGGGCCGTGCAGGAGGCAGCCGACCAATGATTCTCATCATTGATGTTTCTACCTCTCACCCTTCCTCTCCGAAATATATACGGTATGGAGATCCAGTGCCCTCTCGGCCTCCCTTCCATCCTCCTCCCCACGGAGGCCCGCAGGCCCAGTCTGCACCCCGCCTGCCTCTCTCAGCGCGCTCTTCCTGGCAGTGATAACCATCAGTCTGATAAAAACAACAACCATTCCATCTTACGGACAAGGAAACTGAGGCTCGGAGAGTGCTGTGACTCAGCCAGAGGCCTCAGTGCTGGGCCGGGTTCCGGTGTGACTCAGGAGTGAGTTGGAACCGAGGTGCCACCTGGTGGCGAGTTGGTAAATGTCTGACAGCCAGCTCTGACTTGTAGCCGCTGCCACTTCCTGTGGTGTCAATACGCCCGCCACCGCCATTCAAAGCGACTCACTGCCCTGGCGCGTCCCTGCGAGGGCCTGAAGCCGACACTCGCTCCACCCCTGAACTCCGGACTGGGTCCTGGCCAAGAGACTCCTCCTGTCTGAACCTGTTTCCAGTCCTTTTTAAAATTATTATTGATTTTTTACAGAGAGGAAGGGAGAGGGATAGAGAGTTAGAAACATCGATGAGAGAGAAACATCGACCAGCCGCCTCCTGCACACCTCCTACTGGGGATGTGCCCACAACCCAGGTCCATGCCCTTGACCGGAATCGAACCTGGGACCTTTCAGTCTGCAGGCCGACACTATCCACTGAGCCAAACCGGTTTGGCTCAGTTTCCCGTCTGAGCCAGCATGATGCCGGGCCCAGAGCGGGCATCCCCAAATGATCGGTTTAGCAGCTTCCCCGTATTAACTGGTCGCTCGCTATGCGCCAGGCACCGATCCAAGCACCTCACCTGTATCAGCTTCATTCCTTCCAACCCTGGGGCGGGCTCTGCATTTGACAGATGAGGAAACCGAGGCCATAAGAAGTTAAAAAACCAGCGGAACCTCCCCCAGCTGTCTGTGGACAAGGTGGGGTTGCAACCCAGGCAGCGTGGCCCTCTCTGATGACTGTCCTATGACAGGCACATGCACACTAGCACACAGCAGACACCCCCCCCCAATGAAGAACCACCCCAAGCCCCGCCCCTAAAGGATACTGGTCACCAAAAGGACAGTGCAGAGGCTGCAGAGGAGCAGACGGAGCGGCCTGATCCACGGGGCCCCGGGCTGCGGCAGGCTCTTCATCCTCCAGGAGAGAAGGAGCTGCAGCCAGAAGTAGACATGGCCGACGAAGAGGGCCAGGAAGGCGCCCGTCAGGTGCGTGGCCATCTGGTTCGTTTGCTGGAAGGAGGGGGAGCAGCAGGGAGAGGTGAGGGGATGACCCCTGCAGAGGCCAGGCCCCTGACCCACCCCAGGCACAGTGATTGACAACCGCCACGCCCAATGATCGGGTCCCTGAGTACAAGCATCAGCTGTCCTCCGCTCTGGGAGGGCGGGCATTTAAATGTCAATCCCTAAAACAGTGCCTGGCGCATAGCAGAGGCTCAGGTAGATGTTGGTGCAACAAATCTCTTCTTCTCACCCAGGGTGTGGGAGAGTAGGTGTTGCCGCCAAGGGGATAAAAATTGGTTTTTGGCCTTAACTGGTGTGGCTCAGTGGATAGAGCGTCAGCCTGCAGACTGAAGGGTCCCGGGTTCGATTCCAGCCAAGGGAACATGCCCGGAGTTATGGGTTGGATATCCAGTAGGGGGCGTGCAGGAGGCAGCTAATCCATGATTCTCTCTCATCATTGATGTTCCTATCTCTCTCTCTCCCTCTCCCTTCCTCCCTGAAAATCAATTTAATAAAAATTTTTTTAAAGCGAGAGAGAGAATGCGTGAATGAACGGATGTGCAGATACGATGGGGGACATTTGCTGACACGTTGGAGGGAGCCTCCGGCCCGACACCCTGTGGCTGGAGGCAGACATGGTAAAGTGAAATGATAACGCTACACCCATCAGTGGCATTTCTCCCATCGCGTGTGCATTCGCTTATTCTGCAAAGACCTACGGAGCTTCGCGCTTAGCAACGTGCGTTCCAGAGTCTGTGAATCTGGGTTCATATCCGACCATGAAAAACACCTCCCCGTGGGATCCGGCCGGGAAGGACCCGCCTGGAGTTCGTGTGCAGAGTAGGTACAGCCTGGGGCAAACTCCGCCAACGTGGCCAACATCGAGAATGAGTGACTAGCGGTTCTTTCATCACCGACGCGTGGAGGACGACAGGGTGCCACCTCCCAGCGTGCGGCGGAATCGCTAGAAAGCGCCTCCCGCGCGGCGCTCCATGCAGACAGCCGCCCTAAGGAGTCACCCCGCATGCCCACGGCCCGAGAACGGCAAAAAAATACATGTCCCAGGAGGCGATGCGGCGCCGAGCCCCCCCTACAAAGAAGTAGCCGGCCGCCCCGGAGGATGCTGGGAGTTGTAGTCCCAGATGGTGGCCGGCCGGACTCCAGGGCTGGGCTCCAGGAGCCGACTTCGACTCACCTGGAAATTGCCCACCACGGAGGTGCCTAAGGCACAGAGGAGCCCTGAACAGAGGATCACCCGGTTAAACCACTTCCCGACGCCCCAGTCCCGGAACTGGTGGTAACGGAGAATGCAGATCCAGGCGGCTGCGAGGAAAGGGAAGTGGGGGGGGTAGTGTGGCACGGGAGAGGCTGGAGGTGCAGGGGTGGGGGGCAAATCC